CGAGCACCGCCTCGGAGCCCCCCGACCTCTGCTCCTCGCCCGCTGCCGGCCTGGCCGGCGGCCAGCTCCTCGAGCCCGCCCAACAGGCGGCGTGCTCGCCCGCCACGCTTGGGTCGGGCCTGTCCCTCTACAGGAGGCAGATCCCAAAAGAGTGCAAAGTAGTCGGGGACGACCTTTCTGATATGTTCGGTTGAATATGTGTTTGACGCTGTTGCACTCTTCTTCCAAGATCCGCCTCTAGGAGGACATGCCCGACCGCACGCCGCGCGCGAGCGCGCGCGCGCAAGCTCCTCCAGGCTCAGCTCCTTGGCGGCCTGGTGCTGTCTCATGCGGGTCCTGCGGCGGCGCCCCCCCCCCCCCCCGGCGGCCTCGCGGCCGCAGCCTCGGCGGCGAGGCCGCGGGGGTCAGCGACCACAGCGGGCCCCGCGAGTCCTTCCCTCCTGCCCCCGCCTCTCCGCCTCGCCTGCCCTCTCCTCCCCTCCCCTGCTCGGCGGCGAGCGAGGGGGGAAGCGAGGAGGAGAAGGCCTTCTCGGAAGGCGGCGGGACTTCTCAGAGGAGCCCTCGCACCCTCTGAGAGGCTTCCTGCGCCTTCGGGGAAGGCTTACGGAACTTCTCAGGAGGCTGGTGGACTTCCGAGCCTTCTGAGAAAACCTACCCCTTCTCGCTTCCCCCCCCCCCGCTGGCCGCCGACAACCGCAACAGGAGGTGAAGTCGAGCAGCAGATGCGAACCCAAGCACAGCCCCAAGCCGAGCATGCCCCTTGCTCTTGTGCTCTTGTGGGTGCCCTGACAATGGACACTCTAACAACCCTGTCATTGAATTACAAAAGTGCTTAACATGTGTAGAACATGTTGTAAACATGTTTCAAACCTGTTTTTTACATATGTAAAGACATGTTTGAAACATGTTGGCAGCATGCTCCCTCTCCATGAATCGACTTCCACAACCTTTGCTCCCACAGCCTTCTCCGTCCCCTCGCCCATCTCTCATGCCCCTCCCCGGTTGGGGCTTGGCTACCCCGGCCTCCCTTCTCTGTCCCGCCCCCCTCCTTCATTTTTCCCTCCCCCCTCCCCTCCTCCCTCTCTTTGTGGGCACTCCCCTCCCCTTCCACCTCCCGGGGGCGCTGACTCTTCATCAGACCTCATCCCCCTTCGGGCCTTCCCCCATCATCGGCCCGTCCCCCCTCGCAGGCCCCACCCCCCCCCGCGACCCCGTCCCCGTCCCCCCTCCCTCACGTCCCAACCCCATTCCCTCCTCGACTTCCCTCCTTCCTACTCCCTCTCCGTCCTCCCTCCCACACCTCCTCCTCCTGCTCCTCCTCTCCTCCTCCTCCTCCTCCTCCTCATCCTCTCCCTCCCCTCCTCCTCCTCCTCCTCCTTCCCTCCTCCTCCCTCCTCCTCCTCCTCATCCACCTCCCTCCTCCCTCCCTCCCCTCCCTCCCTCCCTCCCTCCCTCCCTCCCTCCCTCCCTCCTTCCCTCTCATCACCTCACCGCTGCTGAACCTGGCGATACAGCGTTCTGCTACTGCCCTCTTCGTGAGTGGAGTGTCGGACCCTGGCCAGGAGAAGGGGCAAATGCAGCTTGATCCCATGTCGATCGTCGTCGCCGTGGCTGCTCACCGCCGCCGTGGCGCACGGGCCACGTCTCGGGCTGTGCGCCAGTCGACCTTGAATGATCAGCCACCACCCCTCCGCCATGCGAACGACCAAAAGAAACGCATCTCACGCGAGATGATATAGCGACTCTGTGCCGCGGCTTTCGCGGGGCGCCAACAAGGCATGTTGCAGTGGAAGCGAGGGCCGCGGGCAACTTACGCGCCAATGTCTATGTAGACGACCCGTGTTTTCTGCGTCTCGCAAAAGCACATTGATCGCATGACCGTCGTCGTCGTCGTGGCTGCTCACCGCCGCCGTGGCGCAGGGGCCTGGTCTCGGGCTGTGCGCCAGTCGACCTTGAACGATCCGACACCACCACTCCGCTATGCCAACGACCAAAAGAAACGAGTCTCACGCGAGACGGCATAGCGACTTCGTGCAGCGGCTTACGCGGGCCGCCATCGTGGCACGATGCACCTGGAACGAGGGCGCTCGCGTGCGACCTGACGCGGGCAGCCTACGCGCAAATCTCGGTGCAGACGACATCCGCTGGTCTGCGTCGCTCACACGTTGAAGTGGACAACGGCGCGAGGTCAACAGAGCGTTCGTGCCTTGAGCTGGCGCACTTGGTGGGCTTGCTTCCCACCACCGCCACCAGAAGTAGGAGGGGGAGGGGGTCCTCCTCCTCCTCTTCTTCCTCCCCCCCATCCTCCACCTCCTTTCCCCCCTCCAACTTATGGTGGTGGTGGAAAACAGGCCCATCAGCGCTGGCCCACACTTGCATGCCAGCCGAAGACGCGAGCACGGCACAAGCACAAGCCTTTGGCGGTCTGCCGCGCGGACGTCGTGGATCGGCGCCGGCGCGCTCCGTGCGCCAGGGAGGGGGCCCCGGCGCCGATCCACGAAATCCGCGCCAGGCTCTTCAGAACTTGATGTTGACGTCGTTTCGTTTCTACACGGTAGAGTCTATACGGACCGACCTGTTGTTGATCCACCTGCAACGCCGATGGGCGAAGGGAAAAGGGATGGGTGGGGAGAAAGATGGGGGAGGGGCAGGGGCATCGAGTATCCAGCTGCCCGAGCAACCCCGAGCTATTCGATCAAGTCGTGTCCGGGGAGGGGAGGGGGGAGGGGAGGGGGGTAAGCTAGAATCGGATGTCGAGCAGGGCAATGATCCCGAGAGGGTAAGCGATGAATGGTAAAGCACGGCGTAACATGGCGTAGAAGAGCGCGGCAGAGCACAGCATGTCATAGCATGGCGTGGCATTGTGTACCGTAGCGTTGCATCACAAAGCATGGCATTGCAAAGCATGGCATCGCAGAGCGGAGCACAATACAGCAGCGTATTACATACCATGGCATGGCGCCAGATGATTTGGAGGGTAACTGGCCCGTCTACGCGGCCCCCCCAAAACAAACACACCCGAAAAACCAAAAAAACACCACCCCCCCCAACAAAAACAACCCAAACCCCCCACCCCCCCACCCCACAACCCCCCAAAACGGACACCCCCCCCCCCCTCCCCCCAAAAAAAAAAAAGGAAAAACACAAAAAATCAAAAAAAAAAGAAAAAAACAAAAAAAAAACCCCCAACAACACAACAAAAAAAAACACAAAAAATAAAACCAAAAACTAAAAAAAAAAAAAAAAAAAAACAAAAAAAAAAAACCAGTGAAAAAAAAAAAAAAAAGGCAGGCCCTGTCCGGAATCGGGACCCCGGCTCCATGTCCTCCGCAACCGTGCCTGCCCGATGTGGGCGCCCTCGAATGCCAAGTGCCATCTGGAAGGGGGTGCTGTAATGCTGTAGGGCCCCTCCTCCTTTCGACACGCTGCCTCGCGTCCCCCAGACTGAAGGGGCCCCAGGACACAAATAAATACACACAAATAAAAGTATTCACCATATTTTCCTATATTTTCTGGGTTTTTGTCTTCCCCCCCAATGTCCATATTTTCCTATATTTTCTGGGGAGTCGACGATTAATTGTGTCTGTGTGTTTCTTTCCCTCCTGACAAACCGCCGTCCACGTCTCCCTGGGCTCCCCGGAAAGCTCTGCACGAGGCGTGGCGGAGGGGACCGAAGCGCGGAGAGGACGCCTGTGCTGCGGCCGCAAGACGTTGAGGAAGGACTGAATATCACAGGGAGGAGGTCGGTGTCGCAGCGGCAGCGACAGCGCCACGGACCGGAGCGCTGGCAGGGCGCCGGTGCTACAGCGGAACGACGGTGAGGAGGGACCAAACCGCGGAAAGGAGGCCAGCGCGGCAGCGGCAGCGACTGCAGTGGCAGCGACAGCGCCACTTGAAGGACTGAGACGTCGCTGCGGCAACGGGAGCACGGATGTGGAAAACCAGACCCGCGAAAGTACGACCAGCGCTGTAGCGGGAATCACATTTTGAAGGGCAGGACAGACACGGATGTGTAAGGTGAAAAAACAACTCCCCGAAATCCTGTGTAAAAACACTGCGCGGATTAGGGGCTGATCATCTTCCGAACGCCATCAGGGGAGAGAGGAGGGTGTGCAGGGAGAGCGAAGGCAGGGGGAGGGGAGGGAGGGAGGGAGGGGAGACGAGGAGGGAGAGGGGGGGGGGAGAGGGAAGAGGGGGGGAGGGAGGGAGGGGGGGCGCGGAGGGGTGGGTCAGGGGTGGCAGCTCGAAGAGAAGCGAATCCAGAGAGAGAAAGGGAGAGAGAGAGAGAGAGAGAAAGAAAAAAAAAAAAACGCCCTCGGCCCTCGGCGGAGCGGGCGACGCGAAAAAAAAAAAAACGCCCTCGGCCCTCGGCGGAGCGGGCGACGCGCCACTGCGCGCGGCAGAAGTTGAAGCAGAAGAAGCCGCCGAGGAGGGGCGGGGTGGGAGGGGAGAAGGGAGGTAGGCAGCGAAGGGAGGAGGGGGGAGAGGAGGGATAGAGGGAGGGGAGGGAGGAGGGATGGAGGGGAGGAGGGAGACAGGTAGCGAGGGGAGAGGGGGGAAGGGAGGGATGGAGGGAGGGGGGAGAGGGGCAAGCTAGGTGCGCTCGCGTCATATCTGGCGTCCTACCCCTCCTTCCCATCCCTTACCATGGCGTAGATCTCCTCTCTATTCGCACAGTCGGATGTCGAGCAGGGCAATTATCCCGAGGTGCGCGATGCATCGTAGAGAACGTCATAGCGAGGCGTAGAAAAGCACGGCAGAGCGTAGTATGTCATAGCATGGCGTTGCGTTGCGTAGTGAAGAATTGCAGCACAAAGCATTGCAACGAAAATAATGGCATCGCACAGCGGCGCAAACAGAACATGGCATAGCATGGCGATGAAGATCAAAGCGTAGCATGGCATAGCATGACGTGGCACTGCGTAGTCAAGCACTGCATATCCTAGCATTGCAGCTGAAGGCATGGCATCGCACAGCGGAACACCACATAGCATTGCATT